AGACAAGGGGAAGGTGGTTGGTTGTGCTTGAGCACGTATTCCTCCGAGATCCCTGAGCCCAGCGTGCTGCTGCTGTGTCAGACACGGCACAGGGGAGTGCTGGCCTGCTGCAGCCTGTGGAAGGTAGGTATCCCACGGCTCAGAGCCAGCGCTGGAAGCAACCTCCTCCCCCAGTGAGTCTGGAGTTGGACTGTTTGGCCCCAGCGCTGGCTGTGCCTCTTTCATCCCAGGGGTGGTGGGAGGAGTACTCACTGGTTTTCTGAGGCAGATGGCATGCGCAGTTCTGGGTGGCAATCCTCCAGGGCAGAAAACTCTGCCGCCCACCTCAGTTCCTCTCCAGCTGCTGTCTGCTTTCTCTGTAGGACACGGTTCAGAAATGCCAAAGGCAAGTCTGTGAAGAAAAGCCGGGACTGGATCCTTGAGAAGAAGGAGCGGAGACGACGACAGGGCAAGTAAGTTCAGCCAGGTCCTGCCTCAGCTGAGGCTGACTGTGCTGGTCTGGCCTGCTGTCACCCGTTCAAACTCCTGCCATGAACCCGCTGCCCTTCCCCTCCCAGAATGACCTGTGGATTGTGCTTAGCTGCTCTCTTTTCTCCACAGGGAAGTGAGAGCAGACACGAAATACACGGGTCGAAAGCGCCGCCCTCGCTTCTGAATTGCTCTGGACACTGCTGGCGTGGAAGATGGTGTGTTGGTCCCTCCAGTGAGCCTCCCGTGGATGGCACAGATGGGCACCCCAGGCACGGGACTTGCTGGGACAGGTCATTGTGGCTCTCACAGGTGTAAACTGGCTCAGGTGCTGCCCAGCAGCCAACTGCAAAGCTTCCAGCCCTGTTTTTCTGGTGAAGGTAGAGTGGCAGACAGTGCTCTGGCCACTAGGTGTCTGCAGTGCCATTGCTTATCTTCCTGAGAGTGCAGCGCACCATCTGGAGCTCCAGGTGAGCCAGAACGTTATATCCAGCCTCCTCACTAAACAGTCAACGAGTCAGAAATGTTGCTGGTCTCCTGTGTCCTGCCCTCAGTGCAGGGGAGTACTGAGGTGGGAATACAGCACCTTGTTCCCTGCCAGCGTCCCCTCTGCCCACAGGCAGGGAGCCAGGCAGCGTACAGGTGTGTGTCCCACGAGGGCCAATCTTCCTCCTGGCAGAAGTGTTATTCCTGCGGCGATTGCTCCTGTGGGCGCTTGGCATCAGGCCTACCCTGTATGCTGTGCTGCTCCCAGGGTGCTGGGCTTCTCCGTACCCCAGCCCTTCCTCCCCATCACCTCCTCCCTTCCCCGGAAACAGAGAGGTGCCAGCCAGAGTTTTACAGTTACAAATGTTTATTCTACATAAAAATTCCACAAAATGGGAAGCTGTTTTGCACCCAAAGCTTTGGGAGAAGAAAGGGAGGCTAGCAGGAAGGGAAAGGGTGAAGGAGAAAAGAGGCAACATACAGTGTCATCCAGCCCAGTGAGACAGAGCAAGCCAGGGTCAAGATCCACATAGAAAACAAGGACACTTAGCTCACAGTACAGCAACAGTACAACTCCACGGGGGGCTCGGAAAGCCTTCAAGTACATGAATTACAAAAAAAAACAATCCCCAGTTCGAGTGCAAGCTGTGCGTGCCCCACACTGCTCGTGGAATACTGCATCGACACGCTCCCGGTGCTGGGAGGGCAGGTGGCACTTGGAACAGAGGTGGTGTAACCCAAAGGACAAGCGGTCTGAGGTTGGGGGCTGGAAAGAAAAAGTGAAATGTCTCCCCGAAGCACAACCACACTGTTGGTGATTTGGTCTGTACATGCAACGACGGGTAGGTAAAAAGGAACTGAACGGGGCTTCCCGTAGTGCAGGGGTAATTATTGCACCAAAACACCCTCCCCTCACAGCGAGGACAGTGCGAGCCTGCCTGTGGGGCGGCGATGGCAGCCTGCTCCTCTGCCTCCCTCGCGTCGGAGCCTGGGGCCACCGCCGCCTGCAGGATCCCAGCAAGGTGCCAGTGGCAGAATCGCCGACTGGGGCCCCGTCCAGCTCCTGCTGCTGGGGGGCTGCTGGCGCTGGTGGTACCAGCAAGGAAGGAGCAAGTGCCAGAATCCCCCAGTGCTGTTCTTGGCCTCGTGCCTTGACGGGGCTGGGCCACAGCCCTGATGACATGTGAGCTTGTGCCACAAAAGCCGCTGCTTGGAGTAAAAAAAAAAGTCACCTTGTGCTAGCAGTGGGCATTGCTGCAGGGTGAGAGCCTGAGAGGAGCTTTTTTGCCTGCCTGCCCAGGAGCAGCCCTGCCAGCAGCGTTATTGCTTCCCGGAGGAGGGGGCCCAGCGCTCTTGCTGGCTCAGCAGAGCAGAGTGCAGACTGGTGGCAGGGAGCCGCACAGGGGCAGGAGCAGCTGGCACTCGTGCGTCACCTCCAGCTCCCTTTCCTGTAGCCAGACATGTCCCCGCAGAGCCGGGACCCTGCCCGTGCCTGCCTCCTGCCCTGGAGGGGGGCCCGGGGGGCGGCCTGCCCCTGCTTGCGGGGGCCCCGGTGCCCCAAGCCCTTTGGCGCACACAGGCTGCAGTGCTGTAGCTCACATCGGTTGTTGCGGGACTGTGAAAGAAGGGGGCTCCGGTCTGGGATGTTCCCACGGCCACGCGCGCTGGGGGCTGGGGCTGGGCAGGGCAGGGGACGCGGGCTGAACGTGCTTCCCAAGGGTGGCTGAACGGGACCGGGGCTGTGTTGTGGGACCTTGCCTAACAGCGGCAGGGGAAGAGCCGGGTCTGGGTTGCTGCTGGGCAGGGCTGCACCTGGGGAAGGCAGCGCTGTCACTTGGCTACAGCCCGCTGTCTTCCACCGGGCACCCACGGGCACCACACGCGGGGCCAGCGCCTGCGCTCCGGCGCCCAGCCAGGGTGGAGGAGCGCAGGGTCGGAGCAGCCCTGCCCTCACCCCGGTCGGAGCAGGGAGGTGACACACGACCTGCAGCTGGAGTACTCACTGCCATCGAGTGCCCTTTTTCTGCTCCCAGCATCTGGGCTCACGTCCAGCCCCTCTCCCAGTGAGTGGCTGTCAGCTTGGCCCCAGGTGCCTACCCTGCTCTGGGCTCCTCCGTAGCGCTTTGGCATGGGCACGGGCCAGCTGGAGCCCTGGAGTCTCCCAAGGAATGAGGGCAGAGCGCTGCCCCAGCCCAAGGAAAACGGACAGTAGCAACGCAGGGCCCCTCCGAGCTGCCAGCGGGCCCAGGCCACCCCACAGCCAGTGAGTGGCTGTCAGCTTGGCCCCAGGTGCCTACCCTGCTCTGGGCTCCTCCGTAGCGCTTTGGCATGGGCACGGGCCAGCTGGAGCCCTGGAGTCTCCCAAGGAATGAGGGCAGAGCGCTGCCCCAGCCCAAGGAAAACGGACAGTAGCAACGCAGGGCCCCTCCGAGCTGCCAGCGGGCCCAGGCCACCCCACAGTGGCTGCATCCACGGAGTGCGTGCGGCGGAGGGCAGGGGGCACCCAGGTGCTCCCACAGCACCCCGCCGAGTGCCGGTGCCTCACTGGATGGCCCAGGGGCTGAGCAGGCAGAAGGGCACTGTGCCAGGAGGAGGTGGCAGGGACAGGCGGATGCCAAGAGGCGGCAAAGAGATGGAAAGGGGCAGTCGGGCACTGCCCTGCTCAGGAGCTGGTAGGACAGAGGAGGAAGGCTGCTGCTCCTGGCTTGCAAGGGGGTGGATGCAACAAGGGCCACTCCTGGGACCACGGCAGGAGAAAGCCCAACCGCCTCCAACCCCCAGCCATGGGTGCCTGTGGGGAGAAGGGAGGCTGGAAGCCGCCCTGCTTCCAGGCAAGCGCTGCTGGGGGCTGCGGGCATCAGAGCCAGCCCCAAACCCCGACGGCCAGAGCCCAGGCCTGGGGGCAGCGGGAGCCAGGGCCACCGTGTGCTGGGGCTGAGAACAGAATGATGTGGCTTTGGTGCAGGGCGAGCAGCCAGTGAAACATGCTGGCCTTAAAGTACCTGTGCCCTCCTGCCCTGCCAGGCCAGCACCAGAGTGCAGCACAGGTCCTCACGTGGCCTCTCCCCATCCCCAGGCAACTGCGATGGCCCCACGCAGCAGCTCCTCATCCCGCACTGCTCCAGCAGGCACCCACCGCCAGCACCGGCACGTCTAGGCCCTGGCACCCATACCAGGGCGAGGGCTTGCCGAGGGAGGGGGCAGCCCTGCCATCAGCAGAGCAGCAGGGATGGAGCCCTACAGCCGGGCACGGCCACGGGCACAGGACAGGCAGGGCCGCAGCCGGGCACGGCCGTGGGCGCAGGACAGGCAGGGCCGCAGCCGGGCACAGCCACGGGCGCAGGACAGGCAGGGCCGCAGCTGGGCACCGCCACGGGCGCAGGGGAGGCAGGGGCGGGGGGGGCGGGGCCGGGCGCAGGACAGGCGGGCCCGAAGCTGGGCACCGCCACGGGCGCAGGAGAGGCAGGGCCGGGGAGGCAGGGCCTGGCAGAGCGCGCCCCTGGGGAAGGGCCCCGTGAGAGAAGCAGCCCAAGGAAAGGTGTTTGCAAGCACAGACGCGGCTGACAGACATGAGAGCTCTGGCTGGAGGTGATGGGGAAGCTGGGGGAGGTTGACTGGGCACTGTGCTCCTGAGAACCCCTAACACCCTTCGTCGGTCCCTCCTCATCCTCAGCTGTCCCTAACACAGAGTGCCCAGCACGGGAGGAGCAGCAGCGCCCAAGGGCACCTCTGTCCCCACCGGGTCCCAGCCAGCCACCCAGGCTGGAGCAGTGATGAGAGCTCAGGTTGCCCCCCAGGGTCCCCCTCGCGCCCATCACCATCCCCTGCGCCCATCACCATCCCCTGCACCCTGCCTGCGCCCCGGGGCCGGCGCTCCCTCCACACAGACGCACCGCACCGCACACACAGCGTCACAAACAACCATGCATTAGAAACTGAAATGCTGCTGGGAGGCTCCGGGGCTGCGTGGTTCGCTCCGGCGCGGCTGCAGCCCCATGGCACGCGCGGCTCCGTCCATCGCACACAAAGAGTCCCGTGGGGTGAGTCTAGCCGAAAATGCCGCCGAAGGTGGAGGCGATGACGATACCCAGGATCACGCAGCAGATTATGATCATGATCTTCTTCTGCTCAGGTGTCCCAGCACCGGCAGGGAGAGAGGGGAGAGGGGACCGTGAGTGTTGGGAGCAGGCTGGCCCCGAGCGCTGGGGGCTGCGATCTGCCCTGTTCCTGCTTGCCCGTGGCGGGCTCCGAGCAGCACCGTGGGAGCCAGGGGGGCTCCAGCAGCGCTGGGGCAGGGGTGGGCACCCCAGCTCCCCCTTCAGCCCTGTGCTGGCAGAGCTGATCTGGTGGCCCACCGGTCCCCGAGCTGCTACAGGACCGGGTGTGGGGACTGGGACAGCGGGCACTGCGCTCGGCGTCAGAGCTGGACCATGCCTTTTCTCTATTCTTTTTTGGCAAGGGACGTGGCTCTCGCAGCAGGCCTGGCCCACAGGGTCCGCCCTGTCCCTTCTCCCCCCAAGCAGCACCCCTGCCTCACGGCTTGTCGTCAGCACTCATGCGGCCTGCGCCGGGGAGCTCTGCCTCAGCTGGTGCCACCAGCGGGGCCCGCGCTGCACCCAGTGGCGTGGGGGTAAAGCAGTGCCCAGGCACCCCTGCAGCTGCGCCATGCTGCCTGCTCCTCTGTGCAGGCAGTGGGGCAGGCAGGAGTGCCAGGCAGGGGCCTGCCCCCAGGACGGAGGCGTCAACAGTGTAGGCAGGGGAAGATGGGCCCCAGCCAGTGCCATGACTCACCCGTCTGGCTTTGCTCTGGTACTTGACCGCTTTTTTGGTGTCAGACACGGCCCGCTCCACATAGTCAACCGAGTGCTCCACGTTGTACTCAATGCGGTCGATCATCTCGCCCTGCAGAGCGGGGACAGAGCCCGCGCGCCCCCACGCGCGCAGACGTCAGCTCCTTCCTGCTCTGCGGCTCCCCAGCGCCATGCGGACGTCACCCTGCCCAGCAGCCCTGCACGGGAGAGAGAGGGACCGTCAGTTCCCTGCAGGCAGTGGGGGCCCCGGGGTGCCCAGGGGTGCCCTGGGGTGGGGGCTCCGGACCACAGGCTCTGTCCCAGAGGGCTGGGACCTCTGTGCACATCCCAGCAGGGAGGCAAGCAAGGATGAGGGTCAAGGGGTTCCCCAGCCCGGTCCTGGCCTGGTGGCCGCCCTGTCTGATGTCTCAGGTGACATCAAAGTCACAACAGGAGCTACACTGACACCGCGCAGCTGAAATGGGAGGCAAACGGGGGAGCAAGGACAGCACCAGCAGCACCACGTGGGATGCTCGCGAAGCCACGCACATGCAGGGACGACCACTCTGATCCGCACAAGCGCCCTGCCAAGAGCGGAGGGCCCCAGAGCGAGGCCGGACCACCAGGCCCTGCGGGGACTCCTGCCCTGCTCTGCCCCGGGGCTGCAGGGGTGGGCTGGGGACATGGACTCCTGCAGACATGGGGACACAGACTGGGGCGAGCTCCTCCCACAGGCTGCCCACCTCCTTTGGCCCCCTCCTGACTGCACAGGGAAGCAGGCAGGTCCTGCAGCAGCTGCAGATGGAGTCTGAGATGTGACCGACAGGGCTGGCAGGGGTCGGGGGGGCTCAAAGCCCAGTGCCCTCCTGGATGGCACAGAGGGAATCAGGGAATCGGGGCTGCAGAGCTGGGGGGTCATGGCCAGCAGCTCTGCAATGCTCATTTCTCAGCCTAATGCTGGAGAGCACGGGGAGGACGAGCCTTGCAAGCCCAGAGGTGCCCTGGTGTTACCCCCCAAGCGCTGACCCCACCAGGCTCCCTGCTGCTCCTGTCCCACGCCCGTGACACGCCAGCCTGGATGCATTGCCTAAAGCTGCTGCTTCTCCTCCCCACCTGTGCCATGCCTGGGGCAGAGCCGGCAGCTGCCAGCACTGCTGCCAGCCCGGCACACCTCTGCTCCTGGTGCGGGCAGCTCGGAGCCTCCCACCCCGCAGGGCAACGCAGGGTGCTGGGACGGTCTGGCCCTTAGAGTGGGGCAGGGCTCTGTGAATCCCCCCCGTCTGTCCCCCAAGGCAGACAGGACGGGGCACCAATGCCGCCGTGCCACGGCGACCCTCGCCTGCCTGCCACGGGCAGGCCCTGGCACCGCGTGAGAGCCACAGACATGCAGGGCGCAGCCATGCAGAGCGGAGCATGCAGCACCGGTGAGGGCTCAGCGGGGCTTTACCTGCCACTGATGTCTCCTCGGGCCATGGCAGCATGGCGGGCAAAAAGGGGGTTGAGCAGAGACACCGGAGCACATGCCTGGCTGAAGGGCCAGGCGCCGCAGGCTGGCGGCACAGCCGGGGCAGCCTGGCAGGACCACTAAGGCTGGCGGCACCCTGAGCTCACCCGGCAGGGCGAGATGGAGCACCCGCATGGCAGCCACCCACTGCCTTCTTCCAGAGCCCATCACTGCACCTCCCACCCCGGGCATGCAGCAGCCCCCGGCTCTGGGGCGCAGGGAGGGTGGCTCCAGCCCCGGGGAACCCAGCTCAGCCCCAGTGGGAGCCGTGTCAGCCCCAGATGCAGTTTTTCCCCTTGGCACCCAGCCAGGCAGGGGACCGCCGGCAGCCCCATCCCTCTCCCACCTCCCCAGGTGAGCTGGCCACCGGGGCCGCGGCATCTCCCTACCTGGCTCTCCACCAGCATAGCCATGTCCATGAACATGTCGTGCAGCTCTCGGATGCTGTTCTCCAGTTTGATGATCTCGCTGTGCCGTGTCTCAATCTCATTCAGTGCCTGCTTGGTGATGTTTGAATCCATAATGATCTGCAAGAAGACAGGGCCACTGAGCACCGTGCTCAGCTCCTCGGATGCCAGGATTAGGGGCACCAAGAGAGGGAAGAGCAGGAGCCCCTCCAGCTGCCCCAGCCAGGCAGTTTGCAGCAAACCCCCTCCCCACCCTCCGGCCAGGATGCAGCCCCTGCTCAGGAGCATCCTCAGGCCAGACCTGAGCACCCAGATCCCACCTCCTGTGTGGGCCGTGCTCATCACTCCTGTACTGGGGCCACCGTGGCAGCACGTCCAGCGCCCCTGGGATGAGGGGGCTGGCTCGGCTTTTGCCCGTGCCGGGCTTGGACCAGGGCTGACATGCAGTACTTACTTACCCCGGAGGAGAAGATGGCCGGGTTGCCGCTTTCCAGCATGTCCTCCAGCTCCTCGCTGGTCGTGGTCCTGCCAGCTGCAAGCGACACCATACAGGTCAGCCGTGAGCCCTCCGTCCTGGTCACGGGTCCCGCAGCCCTACCGCAGGGCTCTGCTGGCTCCATGGCATCTCCCGAGAGTGGAGCGCAGCAAAGCTTCCAGCCCCGAGAGCACACTGGGCAGTTCGAGGGGATGCCATCTCGCAGCCGGCCTCGGTGCCAGCCCTGTGACCCCTATTTATAGCGGGTCAAGCTGCCAGCTTGGCCCACCTCACCCAGGAAACCCCATCTGTCCCTCCTGGTCAAGCTGCCCATTCCTGCGGGGCAGGACCCCATTCCGGGCCAGTTCAAGGCCACGGGAACACCGGGCTCAGCAGGGCTCGCTGGGCTGCCTGAGTTTTAGCCCTGCAGCTGCGTAACAGAAACCAGGCTCCGTCCTTCCCCCTGCGACACAGCCCTCCTCCTCGGCACCAGGGTGAGCCCCACGGCTCCTTTGGGAGCAATTCACCCATCATGCATGCTTGCCTTCCCCTCCCCACGGGCACTGCTAGAGAGGTGAGAGGTATTAATCACGCCATGGGTTATACTGATCCTCCACCATTAATTGCAGCGTGTTCTTCAGGCTAACAGCCAGGTAGGACCCGTGAAATTACAGTGCTGAACAGAGACGATGGCACCGGGCAGGTTTTTGCTGGGGCTGCCCAGTGGGAGCAGATCACACCTGGAGAGAGGGCAGGAGACATCCCAGCGGTGTGATCAGGAGCAAACGGGGGCAGATGGGCAGGAGCAGCTAACGAAGTGTCTTTACCAAGCCCGACGAACCCAAAACCAGCAGAAGGGCAGGCAGGGAAGGGCTGGGGTCTGGTACAGTGCTTCCCTGCGAGACGCTGCCCGAGAGGTTCTGTCAGTGGTATCAAAAGGGACAATAACATCCTCTGGGATGAGGCCAGGGCACCTCTGAATGGGGGATGGAGGAGATGTGGCAGAGCGCAGGGAGAGCCCACAGGCCAGCGCTCCCTGCTTCCAGCAGTGCCGCACCAGGGGCTCAGAGCAGGGAGGTGCCCGAAACCTTAACCCCAGTCCAGACCTTCACCACAAGCGTGGCAGTGCCCCAGGGAGCATCGCGAGGGCCCCTGCCCACCCAGCCATGCCTGGCCACCACCCCACAGGCACGGTGCATGCTGCCACCCTGCCTATGGAGTTCTTCCAACAAGGACACCTCCACACACATCTCCTTCTTTGCAAGGTCCTGCACCTGGGTCAGAGCAATCCCCAGGACCAGCACAGACTGGGGGATGGAGGGATGGAGGGATGGATGGATGGATGGATGGATGGAGAGCAGCCCTGCGGAGAAGGACTGGGGGACACTGGTGGGTGACAAATGGGACATCAGCCGGCAATGTGCGCTTGCAGCCCAGAAAGCCAAGCGTCTCCCGGGCTGCAGCAGCAGCAGCGGGGCCCGCAGCTCCGGGCAGGGGGGGGGCCCCC